GTACCAGACCACTATGAGCATAGACTCTGATCAGATCCTGTTTGCCAAGTAACATAACACTGTGTTGTCTGCTCTGTCAGAACATTCATGTCAAGTACCAGACCACTATGAGCATAGACTCTGATCGGATCCTGTTTGCCAAGTAACATAACACTGTGTCCTCTGCTCTGTCAGAACATTCATGTCAAGTACCAGACCACTATGAGCATAGACTCTGATCGGATCCTGTTTGCCAAGTAACATAACACTGTGTCCTCTGCTCTGTCAGAACATTCATGTCAAGTACCAGACCACTATGAGCATAGACTCTGATCGGATCCTGTTTGCCAAGTAACATAACACTGTGTCCTCTGCTCTGTCAGAACATTCTTGTCAAGTACCAGACCACTGTAAGTGTAGTTTCTGACTAGAACATGTCTGTCAAATATCCAATGTGGTGTTATTGGATGCTCTGTAGGTTTGTCAAAGTACCATTCCACTTTTTGTAGTTTCTGATTTGCACATGTCTGTCAAATATCATGTGTGTTGTTATTGGATGTCCAGTGGTTTGGCCTTCCACTTTTTAGCAGTAAATGCTTTACCATATCAGAGCAATATAACATCGAATGACACCAGCATCTCATGTGAGGAATTGATCCCTGGGCTGGCCTGATGAGTAAACTCTTTAACCAGAGAGCTAATATAACATCATATGACACCAGAAATTCACAACTCATGTGAGGAACTGAACCCTGGGCTTGGCCTGATGAGCAAACTCTTTAACCAGAGAGCTATTCCAACACCATATTACACCAGAAATTCACAACTCATGTGAGGAACTGAACCCTGGGCTTGGCCTGATGAGCAAACTCTTTAACCAGAGAGCTACTCCAACACCATTGGTGGTGTATAATCTTGCCCTGATTAGCTCCCTTCCAGCAGCATGTGGTTTGTGATGCGACCTGGAAGTCGGGTTCACCGGTGTGCAGCATGCCTCAGCTGGATTTCATGAAGGCTCAAGGCTCCCTACACGCTTTCAGAGATTCAGAGTAAATTAACCAGTTTATTGCTTGTAGTAAAAACATTCTTGGCAAACATGCGAACACTTAACTAATATTAAACACAAGCACAGAAGAATTTGACACTTTGTTTTTATTGGAAAGGAATTGTAACCAATTAGAGCAGTATTTTAGGTAATGAAATTTATACAATATTTTACAAACTCGGTGAATATCAAAAAGTGTTTTTTAGAAGCATGCATCAATGAAATCTGATTTGCTTACTTCCTTGATAAAAGAAGTGTCGTGTTGAAATGTTGAAATTAGACGTTGAAGTTTATGTGGTTGACAAAACAATGAATTTCTTTGGTTATCAGATATTGATGTTTTATTTTCAAAATTGAGCCTGAAAAATTTCAAAAAGATCTGAGTTATTGAAAAGTTTGTTTTACAATTACAAATTTTCTTATCCATTTTTGATTTTAGAATTGCTTCTCCATTTATTTTGTGTGGATTTAGAGGTCTCCTTGAATGTAATGGTCTTGAAATAGGTCAACCTGACAGCCATCTTTGGTGTGTGACCAATGGAGCACCTCCCAATCTATATGTCATGGAGAGGACAGTTGGCATGTATGTGTTGGTCAACCAAGTCCTGTTTCATGGAGGCCCTTGTTTGATGTGGGTCTATGGAATGAGAAGTGGCCTGTGACCTTTCACCTGTTGACCAGGGCTGTCAGGTGTTTGTCCAAACAAATCAGATAATGCATTCAGTTGGTCATGCCTGTAGTTCATGTCAGCAAGGGGCGGTGGGGTAGCCTAGTGGTTAAAGCGTTGGCTCGTCACGCCGAGGACCCGGGTTCGAATCCCCACATGGGTACAATGTGTGAAGCCCATTTCTGGTGTCCCCCGCCGTGATGTTGGTGGAATATTGCTAAAAGCGGCGTAAAACCAAAACTCAGTCAGTCAGTCATGTCAGCAAAGTTAATAAACTGTAGCAAGTGCACATCTATTATCAAGACTGCACCTTTGCATGAGAAATGTATACTACACAGTGTTTCATCGGGATATAGAGATATTTGGCACTGAAATTTTGGGAATAGGTAGTTAATTATGAATATTTTGAACATTTTTATATTGAAACTCATTCTTTGTCTGTCCTGTTGTCAAATACTATTTAAAAAAACAACTGTTATAGCTATCAATCACATTTAATTCCCAGATCTTGCAATGCCAATTTTCAATTTTCTCCTTCAACCAGGCAGTATTGAATCTTGGAACTGATACTGTGAGAAAATAAATGTGTTGTTTTGATTTTTATGAATCGCACACCAAATCCCTTGTCCAAGATATCTGCTGTGTTGAAAAACACTTCTAACACCAGATTGTGTATCTTGCACATCACATGTCCTCATGCTAATATCTCCCATCTGCTATTGGGAGTAGTGGTACACCAAGTAGTATGAAGCACATGTGCCTGATGCTGAGAGTAGTTGAAACACAAGTAGTATAAAACACTGTGCCTGATGCTGAAAGTGGTGGTAACCCAAGTAGAATAAATCGTTGCTGAAGCTGGAAGTAGTGGTAACCCAAATATTATAAAACACATGTCCCTGATGCTGGAAGCAGTGGTAACCCAAATAGTATGTATCATCTTGCAATATTTACACAAAGCAGACTTTGTAAAGAAACTGAAAAACTGAAGAGTCTGCCAAGTATTTTGGACCATGAATTTTTTTTAGAAGCAAATACCTTCCAAGTCGAGTTTCATAAATATTTGATAATATTGGTTTGCATCAATTTCGAGACAGGAAGTATAGTTTAACAAGGATGTCTGGGATGTGGCGTGTATCAGTGCCCTGTCAGCCTTAATGGCATAGGGGTATCTCAAGTTGAGATATTACATTCAATTAAAGCCACTTGCCGAGATAGGTATCTCCCATCTACAGCAGGTTTTGATTTATCGGCAGAATAGCCTGTCTATTGTCTCAGAAGAAGACTTATGTACATTGAGATCTGGTGATGAAATCACCGTTTGTTGAGACTGTTTTGGCACCTTCGTGGGGTGTTTTATGGGTGAAGTGAGAAATGTATGTAGCTATTCCATATTGTCAGGTGCGAATGCCAAGTGGTATATGAGGAATTCCTATTTTTGATGTGACCTTTGTTTTGCTTAGGGGATGCTGTAGCAGATCTCAATCCCACATGTCCCAAGAAGAGATACTGTTATTTCCCAAACATGAGGTTTATGGTATTTTGAACGTTTATACTGCAAGGATTCTGCAAGCTATAACATTGTAATTACGGTGCTTGTGATTAGGGATTTCTTTCTGTTTTTCAGTCGGGTGTTTATGTGATGGGGAAAGATAACCTTAACAGTTGTTTATTGAAAGAAGACATGAACTATTGTGTGAATATTTCCTTTGGAACTAGTAATGGAAGGAATCACACTTGGTGTGTTAGCACGACTTTGAAGAATACCAATAACCCAAGAAAAGTTACGACTTGTCATTGTATGTAAATACATGGCATGTGTTATGGTTAACAACTTCTTTGTACTCATTGTCACAAAATTTCAGAGCTAATTCTTGCTCCTTCACCATTCTCCTGATGAAGGAGCAAAGATCAGCACTGAAACATCATGATAAAGAATCAAAAAGTTGTTATCCACAAAACTTGTCATATATTAATGTCTGTCCAACTTCTAAATGCCTTTCAAGAATTTTATCATTGTATGGTCCATTTACACCAGTCTTAAAATTTATTTTTTTGGGTGGGTGGGAGAAATTATTTTGATCTGTTTTAATTGTGTGTCCAGATTATTTTTGTAAGAGCAACAATATGTCTTCAGCTGTTGTTTGTTATGCATTGTTATTTTTCTTCCTGTTGGGATATTAAGCAATCCTTGTTACCTGGCATTTTGAATCACTTCGGATGGTATTTAACCTGTTTATCACTGGGTAAGATTTGTGGTCGTTTCCACCAGTGAAAGGCAATCTAGTGTTGATCAAGGTTTACTCTTCACTCTTCAGTGTGGTACGTCTCCTGTCTAACTCAAGTGTTCAGTGTCAGACTGGTCAGATATGTATCTGATAGGCTGCTGTATGTGATGTGAGGCCGTGATTGGTTGATACAGCACAGGTATGCAGGTCTGATTGGTGGATACAGATGTGATATTTATCTGTGATTGGTTGACACAGACCACCATGGTTGTGGAGTAAGGGGAACTAGCCAAGTGAAACACCTGTTTCTTTTGATGCAAGTCAATGTCTGCTTATCAGATAGAGATCCTGTTCTTGTCAAAACTGGGCTGTTTATAGTCACTGCTGGATGTAACCTTAATGTGGAATATACTCAGACCTATATTCAGCATTACTGACTTAGATTGTCTATGCAACATGTGTCAGCTACACATTCTATAATACACAGACCCTGTAGTGTAGTGGATGGAGTGTCTTCTGAAGAGCTGAAAGTTGGGGTTTCAACCCAAGGCATTTCATATTATGAGATGTTTGTACTGCTTGTGTCCATGCCCGTGTCATATATTGCAAGATAGCCAAAAAAAACACCCCCCAAAACATAAAAGTCATAAACATCCAATATCTGGCCTGTCAGCCTTTAAAACTAAAATACTTTTCATCACAAACCAGAACATTGTATTCAAGGTGTATTAAAACATGTAAGATATAGGCATCAAAATGTGTAGGAACACAAGCAACTCTGTTGAATTTATACTTAGTATAGGAAATACACTTTTGACTTTATTTAATTAACATCTTCATACTAATTGACAAATGGCATTGACTTTTTCTGAGAATGTCAGATAAGGGTATACCATGATATAAGTTGATGCTATTTATTGTTCATGAGACTCTAGAACTGGTAATGTGACTGTTTAATAAGAATAAGTGGTTTGGGTCATGTCTCATTAACAGGACGTTGTTGCCTCCCTTGAGCCTCAGTGATATTTAATCAGTATGAAAATCAGCTGACATGTTATACTAATATGTGTCTTTTTGGTTTTAGATATGCAGACGACTCCTATATGTCGGCTGCCGTCAGGCGCTCACGGCGCAACTCTGGAACTGGGAACTACAAGAGGTCGGCTTCTGCAGCAGCGCTGCGTCCAGATGAAGATGACGCCAGTAACGACACTGATGCCAACAGCGTGTTCAGTGACAAGAAGCTGGGACATCAGGCATGGAACAGTGAGTCTGCTTTATCAAGGCATTCCATTGGTGCTTCAATTGGACACAATGAGATGCCAAACCTTCCTGGAAATATCCCAGCTTTCAAAGCTGATGTGGAACATGTGAAAAATGTGTCCGTAGGAACAGTGCAACCTCTGCAACCCAAACCGCTTCTTTCTCCCTCAACGGAAACTGCCCCCTTATTTTATCCATCCTCCTCAACAAGTGCACCCAAACCAGCTGCCCGACCTCCCCAAACCTTGTCCATGACAGCTTCCTCATCAAGTTCCCGCTCAGCCCAACTCCACTCTCCATCATCAGGTCAACCTCAACAGACTCTCTCAATGACCTCTTCTTCTTCCGTAAGTTCTAGATCTGCACAGCTCAACTCACCATCAGGTCCACCTCAACAAACTCTCTCAATGAGCTCTTCCTCCAGTTCTCGGTCTGTCCAACTCAACTCACCATCATCAGGTCCACCTCAACAAACTCTGTCAATGAGCTCTTCCTCAAGTTCCCGGTCTGCCCAGCTCAACTCTCCTTCATCAGCTTCAGTGAAGCCCCTGGTCCAACCACAGACATCAGCTGGAAGTGCAAGACATGCATTGCATCCTGCACCCAGTAATTCTGTTGGAGGGACTTTCATAACACCTGTGGTTAAATCTGTGCAATCACCTTCTTCAGGCCCAGCTCACCCCCATGGTTCAGTGCAGTCACCTTCCGGTGTGTCTAGTTTATTCTCTCCCCGTCCTTTCGTTTCGCATCATTCCCGGGAGGGAGAAGGAGGGGAAGGCAAAAGGTTTGGTACACCCAATTCAGTGAGAGACAGAATCTCTAAAATAGAACATGGAGGCAATAAGAATGTGGGGTCACCCAGGTTAGAACAAGGTGGTAGAGTGGGGTCTCCAAAACACACAGCATCACCAAAACCTGCAGACAGTTCATGGAAGACTAACCCAGATCCTATCCGGACATCATCACCCAAAACTGTCGGTGGTCACTTGAAAGCTGAGAGCTCCTGGGAGACAATTGAGAACCTCAGTCAAAGCTCTGCTCAGAAAGCAGCTCACAGTCAGAACAGTCAAAACAACACACAGAAATCTCAGCGTATACTTGAATCCTGGCGGGATGACCCCTGCTCTCGCTACCCACGACACGAGTCTTTCAGTTCGTCTTCATCCAACTCAACTGTCTCTAGCTCCGAAAGGAGATCCAATAATCATGACAATCTTCCTCCCAATGTGTCCGACAGGAGACCCAACATTCAGGACAATCCTGCTAACAGTGCTACCTCCCCAGTCCATCCTAGATACAGACATGCGTCCCCAGCAGAACAAAGTGCTGTAGATAAGCGGAGTCCTCACGCTCCCGGTCAGGTGAATCAGAGTGCATATAACCAAAGAGAACCAAGACATTTCCAGAGTAGTGCTCAGAGAACTCCTGATGGTGCTCCTCAAGGACAGGACCAATCCAGAATGTTGTCAGGCGAATCTCAGGCCTTGTCACCCAGGTATCGGGAAAAACGATCGAGAGATTGCCAAACACGTGACCAAGACTCAAATGGTGTGCATCGGGACGGTGAAACATATAGTCCCCGAACATATCATCAGCCACATCCAGATATGCATAAAGGTGTTAGTGAATCTCCGCGAGGACAAGGTGCTTCTAGTGATGTTAATAACATGAGAAGGAACACTGAGAGGTCAGACTCTCCTCGGACTCAGGATAATAAGAAATCAGCACCCAGTTCTCAGGTGGAGAAGGAAAATCCCCAACCTGTTGATCCTGATTCCATGGCAGTTCCTGTTCATCATGGTCGTCAGCGTTCACAAGAAGAGATTGAGTGTGATGAGCAGGCCAAACAATTAGCAATGGAACTGGAAGGTTCAGACAAGAAATTATCGGAGGTTCTTACTCAGGATCACAAGAGGATGAAATACATGGATGGCATGTTCACTGATCCTGTTGACATCAACAGGAGGCCCTCTTGTGGCAAAACGCAGCTCAAGGAAGTCAACACACCTGAAGACACCAACAAACCTGCTGATACTGACAAAAAAGTAAGTATTGCTAAAATGTTGCTATTGTTGGTATGAAATGTGGAGTGAGTGAGTGAGTAAGTTTAGTTTTATGCCACACTCAGCAATATTCCAGCTATATGGCGTCGGTCTGTAAATAATCGAGTCTTGACCAGATGATCTAGTGATCAACAGCATGAGCATCAATCTATGCAATTGGAATGTGATGACATGTGTCAACTAAGTCAGCAAGCCTGACCAACCGATCCCGTTAGTTGCCTCTTACGACAAGCATGGGTTACTGAAGGTGCATTCTAACCCGGATCTTCACGGGTCTATGAAATGTGGAAAATGAGCTGCACCTACTCACTGATGTTATAAATTTTGTGATGTTTATCTACAAGGAGTGTACATATTTGTGGATAATTACTCCAAGTTGAGCTATATCCAGCTTGATAAACTTCCCTCACTGGCAATGCAATAAAATTTGTTTGGCTACAGCCTGTAGATCTCCTTAGGTTTGAAGTTAGTATGCCTGACGTCATTACATAGTGGATATTAACTCAAACCTGGAGAAGCTGCAGTTTTAGGTAGGTACATGATCTTTTCTCTTCCCTCCTTGTATTATCTTCAAGTATAAGAGTTACTTTATGACCTTAGTGACACAACATGAGTATCAATAGTGTAATGAAGTCGTAACGATCTTGGGGAGTACTGGCCAGTTTTGGGATGAGCTGTAACATGGTGGCAGGTTAATGAATGCAGCACTCGGTGCAATCTTGGTGCATACCCTGTAACTGAAATGTAGACTATGGAAAGCCAGGTTACGCAAACAAGGATTCTGTATATCTTGATTGCATATTTTGGCATTACTGTGATAATTGTGGGGCAGACTGAATCTCCAGAATCTGATTATCTCTGGCCTCGAAGATGATTCAATAGTTGAAGGTCCAGAGTTGTTTGTAGACTAGTCTGTCTCACAGTCCATGAACCACATTATTTTCCTAACTGCCTAGCCCTCCTTGCAAGGCTAAAGCCCTAAATGAAGCAAGTCCAGATTCCCCAGTTAGAATCTCCCAACTCACTGGGACTCCATTTCAATATAAATGGGTTTATTTGTTACTATCAATATTATATATATTCAGGGACTAAGCACTGGATTGTCTGGTCCAGACTCGATTATTTGCAGACCGCTGCCATATAGCTGGAATATTGCTGAGTGCTGAGTAAAACTAAACCCAGACACTCACTCACTCTATCTGAAGACTTACAGTTGTAATGTGACAGAGAGACCATATAATTATAAAAGACATGGGTAGTCAGTTGGTCCAAAACACCTGCTATGTCCTCGGTTTGAATCCTGAATCCCAAATTTGAGATCCTGTGTTATTTCTAGGTTTCCCAAAAATAGTAAACATTTTACCTGTCCCACATGAAGTCAACATAGCCTCCTGTTTAATGGACTGCCTAAGATAAGATCCAATCACTTGATTTTTAATTACTTTCTACAATTTTCATTGGAGTATGTCGAGTTTAGATACCTTGGAGATGCACCTCCAAATTATCTGAAGAAAACCATATGACCTTGTAAGATCATAGGAATTATTGATAGCAACCATTACATGGAAAATTGGGAGATAAGAAAAAATTAATGATAAAAGATCTGGAATAGTTCTAATTTGCAGACGTTAGAGATAAAAGTTTGAATGAGAGCCTGTATGTGTGTGGAATAATTAATGTTATGCTTGCATAAACCTTGCAAGATTACCAGGTAGATGGGGTCATGTGTGTGTATGTAACTACAAAGGTTCTCTATCATGCATTGATATTTAGGAATTTTATGTTATTTACAATCTGCAGATTATCATAAAGTTATTTAATGAGGAATTTCAAAGTAAAATCTCTACCGATAACTTTTTAGTTAAAGTTAATGCCAAAACATGTTTAGGCATCATGTTGGTCAGGATGGCTCGTAACAGAAAGGGCTGCTTCTGTTGTCTGGAGGGCGGTGGGGCCTTCCGCTCTCCGGGCGGACGCTCTAACCACTACACCACGGAGGCGGTCCCCCGTACCTAAGAATGTTAATGAGGGTGCTTTCTGTTACCCTGCCTGGTGCTTGGCAGTAAGGGGAGATAACAAGGACTGCTCGTCCTGAGTGGCAGTATACTGACTAGGGTATCTGTGTTAAAACGCTTCCTTGTATGCTGGTGTACTGGCTCTTAAAACAACAACAGTCCCTATATGTCTGGATTATTACCAATACTCATACACACACACCACACACACGCATGCACGCACCACACCATGCACACACACACACACACACACACACACACACATGCCACACAGTCACACCACACACACCACACCAACACACATGCATGCACACACACTCCACACCATACACACCACCCACATGCATGCACACACACCTACACACCACCACCACATGCACACACCACCCACATGCATGCACATACCACACCATACACACACACCAACACACATGCAAGCATGCACACTCCACACCATACACACACACACCACCCACATGCATGCACACACCACACCACACCATACACACACACCACCCATATGCATGCACACCCACAGTCATGCACACACCACACCACACCATACACACACACACCAGACATGTGCATGCACGCGGACTCCACAGTCATGCACACACCACACAATACACACACCCACACACATGCATGCACGCACTGCACTGCACTCACTCACCATACACACACATGCACTCTGAACTCACTCACTCACTCAAGAGTTGCGTGGTTTGTACAATTAGTTCTATTTGGTAGTATGAATTTCTACTTGGCACTGTTTATGCTGTTGTTATTCTGTGTGGTTTAACGCTGTGAAATGCCATGATGTGGTATAGTTATTCTGTGTGGTTTAACGCTGTGAATACCATGACATGCTGTTGTTATTCTGTGTGGTTTAACGCTATGAATACCATGATGTGGTATCGTTATTCTCTGTGGTTTAACGCTGTGAATACCATGACATGCTGTTGTTATTCTGTGTGGTTTAACGCTATGAATACCATGATGTGGTATAGTTATTCTGTGTGGTTTAACGCTGTGAATACCATGACATGCTGTTGTTATTCTGTGTGGTTTAACGCTATGAATACCATGATGTGGTATAGTTATTCTGTGTGGTTTAATGCTGTGAATACCATGACATGCTGTTGTTATTCTGTGTGGTTTAACGCTATGAATACCATGATGCGGTGTCTATCAGCTACTGCAGTAGCACAGGACTAGGGGCAGACATGTGGTGGGCAGCGGAGTTTACTGCTGTGTTTACATACATCACAGTGGGCTGAAGGAGCTAGGTGAGGGGAGCTGTGTTTGATGTGTGCGTGGCTGATGGAGGGGGAACGTGGCTGATGGAGGGGGAACGTGGGACGGTAGTGGACTTGATACCATGTAGATCCATGTAATGTTCAGTTGTGGTTATGGTAGGGATGAATGTATTCTGATGCTGATTTTCAATTTCATTCAAGTCACTCGGGGCTATATTCCTTGTTTGTATTGAGTATTAGTACAGAGGAATGTAGACGGTGTTAGATTGTTAGTGGTGTAGTTTGTTTCTGGAGGAGGTGTTTCCAGTGAATGAAGCAAGGCTCAAATGTGATCTGTCGGTTGTTTTACACAAACATTTATGCATATTTATGGTTTAGCAAATACATTTGGAGTATTTACATGAGAGGAGAAAAAGAAAATCAAAATAAACTATTCCAAGTTTGTGGGAAAAGTACAAGTGTGTTTTGGATCTTATAAGGCTGAGCAAAGATGCTTTCCTTTGATAGTGTCAAGTTAAGCCTGACCTCTGCACTGACCTGAAACCATATACCAGTGCAGGGGGGAGGTTGGGGAGGGGTGCATTGCCCTGGATGTGGGGAGGTTGGGGAGGGGTGCATTGCCCTGGATGTGGGTAGGTGGGAGGGGTGCATTGCCCTGGATGTGGGATAACATGAAGGGTCTGATATGCAGGACAGGATAACATGAAGGGTCTGATATGCAGGACAGGATAACATGAAGGGTCTGATATGCAGGACAGAATAACATGAAGGGTCTGATATGCAGGACAGGATAACATGAAGGGTCTGATATGCAGGACAGGATAACATGAAGGGTCTGATATGCAGGACAGGATAACATGAAGGGTCTGATATGCAGGACAGGATAACATGAAGGGTCTGATATGCAGGACAGGATAACATGAAGGGTCTGATATGCAGGACAGGATAACATGAAGGGTCTGATATGCAGGACAGGATAACATGAAGGGTCTGATATGCAGGACAGGATAACATGAAGGGTCTGAAATGCAGGGACAGGATAACATGAAGGGTCTGAAATGCAGGACAGGATAACATGAAGGGTCTGAAATGCAGGACAGGATAACATGAAGGGTCAAATATGCAGGACAGGATAACATATGCAGGGATAACATGAAGGGTCTGAGGATATGAAGGAGTCTGGAATGAAGGGTCTGATATGCAGGACAGGATAACATGAAGGGTCTGATATGCAGGACAGGATAACATGAAGGGTCTGATATGCAGGACAGGATAACATGAAGGGTCTGAAATGCAGGACAGGATAACATGAAGAATGCAGGTCTGATATGCAGGACAGGATAACATGAAGGGTCTGATATGCAGGACAGGATAACATGAAGGGTCTGAAGGGTCTGAAATGCAGGACAGGATAACATGAAGGGTCTGAAATGCAGGACAGGATAACATGCAGGGACAGGATAACATGAAGGGTCTGAAATGCAGGATAGGATAACATGAAGGGTCTGATATGCAGGACAGGATAACATGAAGGGTCTGAAATGCAGGACAGGATAACATGAAGGGGATAACATGAAGGGTCTGAAATGCAGGACAGGATAACATGAAGGGTCTGGGACAGGATAACATGAAGGGTCTGATATGCAGGACAGGATAACATGTAGTGTCTGATATGCAGGACAGGATAACATGAAGGGTCTGATATGCAGGACAGGATAACTTGAAGGGTCTGATATGCAGGACAGGATAACATGTAGTGTCTGATATGCAGGACAGGATAACATGAAGGGTCTGCTGTGGAAGGGGTTCCAAGAAGGGTCAAAGATGTTATACAGTACGAAGAAGGGTCTCTATATTAGGAGTATAATTTTATCTCGAGCTGGGATAATCACCTCTAGTTCCCTCCCTAATGTTCTGCTACAGTGCTGCTACATAGTCCCAGTAAGCAAGATGTGAAAGCTGTTGAGTTCAGTACTCATTTGCTGAACCTTTTTGTGGAGGTAAAATTCCCATCACTATCGTGTTAACACACTTCAATCCCATCTTGGAGCTGACATTTTAGGGAACATTTACAATGAAAATACCAGTGGTAGCACATCATAACAGAAAATAACACAGACCTACGAAGCAAAGGAAGTAAAAATCTGGCGCCAAAACATATGCCTTGTGGAATATAACGTATGTATATTTAGAAGGAGGCAGGGAGGAGATGATGAAAGTGAAAGAAATTGACAAGCTATATTTCGTTTATTTAAAAACTGCATGAGCTTATTTCAAAGCCACACGTGAGGGAGTTGTTTAGCATGAGACTATACGCAAGATGTGCACCTGTCCTGGACGTTCTTGTTCTTGTTCTTGTTACGCTGTGAGGTAATTGTTGGGTGTCTTTATGATGCATTAGTGCCAGCAAACGGCAAAACTGAAATTATGCATTCTTTTTGTGAAGGATTGGCTGCCAAATTGATGATGTATTAGTTGTAAATATAGCCCAGCGCTGGTACATATGTCCTGTATGTTTCCGAGATGTTAGACATGCATACTCTGAGTAGGAGAGATCAGGAATGATTGGATCAGGATCAGCTGGAATCTGGCTGGAACTGGGTCGACATTATCAGTTTCTTTGAAGACCTGCAACATGTCTGCTAGCATTTAGCTACACCAACTCACCAAGTGACAAAGGGATCTCTAACTCAGTTAGATTCTGAGATAATTTGACGTGTTTAAATGTGCAATCCTAGAGTTTATTCTAGGTCCTCATCAACCTGTGCTGGTTGTAATAGGCTACCATGTGGATCAGGTGGTCAGGTTATCCACCATATGGATCTTGGTGACAGTGTTTGCCCTTAACCCTGAAAAACTGCAGGCCCTAAGGACCCAGAATCATAAAAGGTTGTGGGTCTGGATCAGAATGTGTAGGCCTTATATTAGTCTGTCGTAGAGACCCTGAAGTAAATATATCCAAGAGAGCCCACGCAAGTCTAGAAAATATGGCAAGTCTAGATTTCCTCAGCTTCAGGAAAATGAAGAAAGTCTCAGGGTTCCTTTTCATTATATATATATTTTTTTTACTATGAACTTTTTTCAGTAAAATATGTTCATTTCAGAGACTAGTTGTTAGTCTAGCCTTATATTTATAGATACAATAAAAGTAATTCCCAACAAACAATCATATCTCAGTAGTCTAAATTGCTTCTTCGTAAATGATAGTCATTTCACTTACAGACAACAGCTGCTGATCGAGATGAAAACTAGAAATTACTGAATGATATTTTCTGAAAGATAATACTCTTAGCTATCAGGGGATTAAAATGCTGTTGGTCATAAGGACCTGCAGAAAACAAGAGCTGTGGGTCCGAGTGGTTTTCAGTTGGCTTCGGGCCTAAGGACCGACGTTAATTTCGAACGCTGTTTTGGTGACTCTATTCACTGTGTGGATAGTTGCTCATAATGTCAATCACTGGATTGTGTGGTCCAGACATGATGGTTTACATGCTACCATCAAGTAGCTTGAACATTGAAGAATGAAATATTAAACACAAGCAGTAAAGAAATATTTGAGGAGTTTTCTGTGACAGTTATTGCTGTTAATCACATTATTGATGAAAGTTTTGTCAATGTGTTTTACATGTTGCCTGTGGCGAAACAAAATAGTTGAGCCTTATCAAACCCTCATCATCAACATATGGGGTAATCATTACCATAGGCTATGAGCTTGATAGACTAATATCTAGTCTCTAAAATGAACATGTGTTACAGAAAGCACAATTCTTAACTTATCTTTATTAATTATAATGAAGAAGAGCCCTGTGAGAGTCTTCATTTTCAGTAATTGCAGTGCTCTAGACTTGCCAAATATTATACTTGCTAGGCTGTATGGGATATATTTGGCTCAGGGTCTGTTCAACAAACTAGTGACTAGACTAACATCTGTGGTAGGAATAAGTTGAGTTCAGTCACTGTAATGGGAAGTCATGCTCTCAAAGTACTAATTTTAATTTTTCTCATTTTATGAAAAAAAACATTCTTGGATGGGCATTTTGCTTAATCAGAATAACTTCTTGCCACTTGCCCCAAATATAGAATCCGTGGGGGAAGGAGATTAATACATCTTAAGACAGAATATTTTCAGGATCAAATCTGAAGATTCAAGATGATGCTTTTCGTTTCATACTTGATATGGTGAATTAAATGATTTACGATGTTGTCATTGCAAGACAGCTGCAACTGTCAACATGGTGGACCCACGTGATAATATATAAAAATATATTGATATGGGTGTCTATTATCTGCCTCATAGTTCTAAATAACGTTTAATATTCCACCATCACTGATAAAAAATGAATCCCATTTCATTCGTGGTTTATAAAGTATCTGTAAACTAACCCTGAATATATCTTCCGGACCACTGACGTGAGAGCCAGTATCCCTATCTCTTGACTGCTCCCAGACAGCCAGTCAATGGAGCTTGTCACATCCAAACTCTGATAGCACAAAGCCGCCTCATAGGCTGGGTTTGAACCCCACTGACCTAGTTAGCCGATAAATGACATTCCTGGCTAATTGCGTGGTCATGTGACCGCTATTAGCAGATATTTGGTAAATATGTGTGAGGGTAATTCATTCTAGTTAGTCGTGTTTGGATTGAGATGTAGAGGTCTGTTTTGGATGTGGGACTGCAGTATAGGATAGATAGACATGGAAGCTAGCAAAGAGTGAGTGTACACAGGACTAAACATTGCGTCTGAGATGGTTTCATTAAGGATATATCTTGTGTGTTTGTTGGAAATTGAGATATTTGCAAGCTTTGTGATGTGTTCGTGATCGATTCATTTGGAATTGTGTCTCAAATATGACTTGGTTCAGGAAGTTTGTATTGTATGTTTGTTGTAAAGAAAGATGTGTATCAAGTTGCTGCATATGCTATTGTGTGGAGGTAATGTGTTGCTGAGGTAATCAATGATGTTATCAATCAGATTTTGTTTAGTTCCTTATTGTGTAGTGGCAACAGTTGCACTGATCTAACACTGTGTGGTGAGATTGTGGTGGCAGGTTGTGAAAGGTTGCCTTGATCTGACACTGTGGAGATCCCGGTAGGAAGCTTTGGTATTGAGTTCATGTACTGTGCAGTGGCAATAGTTGCTCTGATATGATGACACTGTAGAGGCAATAGTTGCCCTAATTTGGTGACACTGTAGAGGCAATAGTTGCCCTGATTTGGTGACACTGTAGAGGCAATAGTTGCCCTGATATGGTGACACTGTAGAGGCAATAGTTGCCCTGATTTGGTGACACTGTAGAGGCAATAGTTGTCCTCATGTGATACTCTGTACAGGCAATAGTTGTGCTGATGTGATACTCTGTACAGGCAATAGTTGCCCTGATTTGGTGACACTGTAGAGGCAATAGTTGCCCTGATGTGGTGGCATTGTACAGACAATAGTTGCCCTGATGTGACACTGTAGAGGCAATAGTTGCCCTGATGTGACACTCTGTACAGGCAATAGTTGTGCTGATGTGATACTCTGTACAGGCAATAGTTGCCCTGATGTGACACTTAAGATGATAATAGGCTGGTTTTGTATTGAGTTCATGCTTTGTGTAGAGGCAAAAGTTGCCCTGATATAAACATACGATCCTTGTCTTTACAGAGGTGCCCTACCTGCGTCTTACTTCAAGGGATCTTCCAAGGCTCTGGTGGAGATGGAGCTGCGACGACAGAATGAAGAGGTGAACAAGGACATCATCAAAGACCTTCAGGACAATGACAGCCTCAGGAAACAAAAGGTAACAACTCCACCTAAGTTAAGCGTTAAGGAAGTAAGATATCTTGTAGGTTGGTGAAGAGAAAGATATGCTGTAGTTTGACATTTGTCTGAATACCTACACAGTTTATGTGGGAACGTTTTGTTGTTCAGGCAACAGCTGGAAACAAAGAGGTTGTAAAACTGTCAGTCTGGTTCATGGGTTAAAACTTTGTTCTTTATGAAATTGTGTTAATTCTCATTGTTTGTTATCTTGTTATCCCATTTTTTGTGCTGCTTGGTGTTCTGTACCTTTACTATATATATGAAAACTTCACTTAAAGAATGTCTTACAAGCAGTAGACTATTTACAAAGATTCTAAAGTACATGGTAATAGTTGTCAATGATTGATGTGTTGAAATGTTTCATGGATAAAAAATGAAGTGCCACTCAATAGATCATTCAAGTTCTAACTTTAAAATAGCATTGACTTCAAATGATATGATATTCTTGTTTCTGCCACTAGGAGGAGCTGATGGAGAAGTTGTATGCCAAGCTGAAGGTGCTGAAGGAGGAGAAACTGTCACTGCAGCAGGAGATCGAGGAGAATGAGGATCTGGGCAAGAAGGTGTGTTCCTGCTAAGTGTGACAATTGGGTCATGTATATGTAGGCTGTTGGGGTGTAATCTTATTAAAAGCTTTGACCACTCCGTTCTACCTATGTTAAAGTATTGTAAATACTGTTGTAGTACTTTTACAATAGTTACTCTTCCATCTCCTTTACATTGCAATAATGTGATTAGCAAATGTATTATTCACATTTCAAACTTTCCCTGTAACTTTTATGTTGTGTGAAACACATTCACAGTTTTCGAAGTTGCTAGGAGCAGTACTAGAATGTTATTTGAGGTAGCTTTATCTGTGTCTGATCTTACCAATAGAGACACCCTTTGTTAAAGATCAGTAGTTGTGGGACTTCATTGGCGAGGAGGAGATTTTATGAATGTTTCATTTGCCATAAATTAAAATTTGAATGAGTGATTGAGATAACTTCTTTGAGTGATTGAAATATTTAGCTATGTTGCATGTGCACTTAAAACTTTGACAAGTCAGAATGTCATTAATCAAACACATGTTGTGATGTAGTTGTAGTCTGTCTCACAGTCCCTAAACCACATTAATTTCCCTACTGCCAAGCCCTCTCTGCAGTACTAAAGCCCTAAATAAAGCAAGTCTAGATTTCCTCAGGTTCTGAATCTCTGGTCTCCCTAGGGCTCCTTTTCAATATAAATGGGCTTGTTTGTTACTATCAAAATTATATATATTCAGAGACTAAGCCTTAGTCTAATGTAGTTGGTATGATCTGAAGTATGTTGGATGTTACAATCACAATGACCTACGTGTGAAGTCTTATGCATCTTTGCTGACTGTGATACTGCTCTTTTTTCCCCAGGTGTGTGAGGTGGTTGAGAGACAGGCCCGTACTCCGGCAGAGAAGGGCAAGTTCAACCGCTTCATTGATGAACTGGAGAAGATAGTACGCCTGATGCTGAATCTGTCTGGACAGCTGGCCAGAGCTGAGAATGCAGTGCAGAGTCTTGGGCCTAATGTTGATGCTAAGATCAAGGTAAAACATGGTCCTAACACTCTGCAGACATATTGTCCCCAAGTGTATTCTTGGTTCAGATACTAAATGTTAAAAATATCCACAATTTTTTGTTTGTAAACCGTAATAAACAGTATCCAAGGGTAAAATGTAGAGCTGATCAGTTTCAGTGGCAGCGAGATTAGTCATTAGATTGTGTTGTAAAGGTAACTGTATGAGGTCATAACAATCTGCAAAGCATTGTGATGTCATTTCATTGTAGCTATGCGTCCTAAGAGTTCTCACTTGATCTCATAGAAGTGCTAACCCTTTGGAACTTGTAGGAAATGATTTGTGATTCAGTATGGCCCCGGTGTGTTTTTATAAAACTGTTTGGTAGCCAGAATTTGGAAGGATCATGTTGAGTGAAATTGTTGGAATAAATAATTTTGTCCTACAGCTTGATTTCCACAAACAAGAATGAACTCTTTCAGATAACTGGTCTTTAATATTTCAACTTTATTGCATGTCTTTGATAGCATATAGTAGCTGTAGGGGATGTTAATTTAATGATACGCATTGTTTTACAGAAAATGACAATCGACAAGCGTGAACGACTCCATGCAAAGTACCAGGATGCTAAAGGATTAAAGGAAGACATTGATGAGCGCAGTGAAAGTGTGGCTGGCATGCTTCGTAACTTCCTTTCCGACGATGAATTTGACGATTACATGTACTTCATTAAAATGAAGTCAAAACTGACAATAGACAGGCAGGATTTGGAGGACAAGATTATGCTGGGAGAGGAGCAGATTCAGGAGTTGAAGAAAAGTATCCCAGATGGCTAACAGAAGGGAGATAACTCTAACAAGGGAGACAACTCTTCTCGTTATGTGGAAGAAGGCAGTTTATCTAACCCTGACAAGGAGAGACCAGTGCTCCAGCCATTTATAACCAGTCTCCTTACATGGAAGCTAAGACTATTAACCATCAATTAACATAATGGAACAACGGTACTGAAGAGATGCTTTTTGTTGAACTCCGAAAAGCTCTTTAAAATATGGAGCTGACATAAGTTTCGTAAAATTAAAAAAGTCCAAGGAATGATTCAAATATGCAAGGTATGTGGACAGTTCCCCACTATGGCCAAAGGGAAGACAACTCTGCCAAACATATATTGAATCTATGGAAAAGAATTCTGGTGTTCCAGATGCACTGTTCTTCCTGGGATATAGAGACATTGTGACAATGTTGTGATAAAATGTTTGATGCTTCTTGCTGTCAAAACCATACAGTCTGTCAAAATGAACTGGATATCGGATTGTTGATTCTCAGAATATATATATTTTCGTTATTCACTGATTCTGAGGACTGGTAGTGTGTTCATTTTTTTAAGAAAATATGTGACAGAATGGATGGGCGGGCCAAAGTTGTCATCATGACTCTAGAAAGTAACAATATGCAATTACCACAGTATAAACCCTCCTTCCTTGAGTGTCTGTGAGTCCTCGCTGTGAGGGGGAAGAAGGATGCACATGTCACAGGGTATTTCTCTGTGTTTCGCATGTAGATGTAGGTCTCGATTGCAGATTTACATAAAAAATAGACATCATAATCTCCACTTCAGATTGTCTTCATCGTTTTCATCACTCTCGGTTTACTTGCCTGTGTTGTGCTGTATATAAATTACTGTTGCTCTGAAGGCAAAGACACACATATCTGTCCTTGGCCCGATCCACAAAGCGTTCGTAGAGCTACGACTTTTGTTTAGCTAATGATAAACTATAGAGTTATGACATTTCGTAACGTTACGAACGCTTTGGATCGGGACCCTGATTTTCTGTCATAGCTGATTTCATCAGAACATCGAAACTGCAACCATCGTAACCTCTTCTTGTGTACGTTTTTGGGTTTAGGAATTAAGAAAGGTTCTTTATACGACTGAATCTGCTTGATTTTGTTTGAAATTTACGTTGAGATATATCAGTTAGTCATTTGGATGCATATATTACGAGGCTGATGGATGCAGCTTGTTGGAACTTGGCCCTCGTGTAATCTATGCTGTACATATGCCTTTTGTGGTTCCTTCTGTCATTTTTATTTGTAAATTTTGTCCATAATATTTTCTTTATTATTTCAGCTAGCACACCATCTTAAAGTGCTTGCAATATTTTTTTTCGTTTTCAAAATTTCACTGGATGTTTAAGGCGCCAATTATTTCTAGATATTTAAAAGATCGCCATGACAACTTAATCTGTCAGCGCGTACGAGTGTACATATTTGTGATTTCATTAGTGAAGTTATGATCTGATTAAAGGGAGATAACCATACAAGTTTATGATTTTCCTCCGACTAAATAAATTTCATTTGCAGTGGACCATGTGGACAATGTGGAAACTAACGTACAATGTGATAAAATCAGCCGATAACCTGTGAATAGTTTCATGTGTAGTTTACCGTTATGCCATATTTTTGAGCATTATAAGAGGTGCTTAAAGTGCTAGTTCAAAGAAATTCCTAACTGTGTGACCTTTGGCCTTGTATATCAGCAATACATAAGCCCATCATGGACATCTTCACATAAGGTATTTTCAAAGGTTGTTTGGGTATTTTAACAAGCATGGTTGTGACGTGACATGTTGTAAGATAAAACATAAATCGTTTATTTTTCACCAGTTTATAATAACCAATTTTTTCATTGCAATAAGTTATTTGTGACTGTGTACATGGGACTGCGATGTCTTGGTGCATGCATTGTTAAACTACAAAGATCTTGTCATTATCTCCCTCCAAGGTTTCAATGTCAACATACAGTGTTTCTTAACCAGCAATAAAGCATGAGAGATATTTTTTGAATTTGTAGATTTGATATTTTTTGTCATTTCAAAAGATTTGATGTAAGTTAGGATATTCCTGAAGGCAAAGTAACAATGTTAGTGGGCTGGTTGACACCAGTCTGTACCCCTATCTGCATACCTATGCGTGACCTTTGTAAGCATGATGGAAGAAGCTCTTGTACCCCGTGTATTACGTACATTTTTTATGCAATATCATATCACTGTTGCACATACACGAGTGTACACAAAAGTGTATGCAATCATGCACTGTGTATGGGGCCCGACTGAGTTTGCATACCTATGTATGACTTTTGTATGAACCTTTGGTTGAGTTGTATATGCGTAGCTACGCATGAGTTACGATGATAACCACATGTACTAGCCCTATAGTCAGCTGACCCTCTTTGCTGTACTACCTTTCTGCTGCTCCAACGGTACCACAATCATCAATAAATGGTGTGTGAACTATACAGGTGTTGTGCTGATTTCACAGGCCTAGGGATATGGGCATTTGACATTTGTCAGAATGGTCGACTTATGGTGGGGATGTGCAAAGTCTTCAAGAGTGACTGACAGACTCCTGGACCAAAATACTTCTAAATATGGCATGCTCTTTTACCCTGCCCACCCCTCAGCATTACTGGGGTTTGAGTCAACAAGTGGTCATCTCAGAGTCTGTATACTGCATGTGAAGGGGGTATCCATAATATACTGTGGCATTTGTCTCAATGGCAAGCTGGATGAAAAGGCCATTTGTTCGGACTGTTACAAGCAGCCACATGCAAGCAAGCACACTCACTCACACGTTGCTAATTAACTGCAGTAATCAAGCAATGCCACATTAACCGATTCTAGAACACGTGACCTTCAGAGATATTGATCCAGTGTGTCAAGGCCATCCACAAGGTTATGGACTGAGATGAGCTTGTCTGCTGGTGGTAACTCCAGAATCAGTGTGGAAAAAGCATGGTGAGCTGACTCCTTGGAGTCAGGCAGGCAACTGAAAAGCCACGGTGGCGACATTGTACCCTTGTTGGGAATTAAACCAGGGTTTTGGGCATGACGAGCGGATGCTTTAACCGCTTGGAATGCTGTGTCTGGTGTAAAACCAGAAGGTAGTGCATGATTTCTGTATATGGTCCAGGTCAATGTGAAGGTAACTTGTGAAATGTGCAGCTATATTTGGCTTCTGGGTGTAATGGTTAAAGGTAGGAATTACATGTAGGATCCCAGATTACAGCAAATGCATTCTGTACATCCTATAACATATTCTGTACACACAAATTTTGCAAAATGCAAATAAGTTTGGTCTCCTCAACATGGCACACTGACTTTTACGAGTCTGAAAGGCAATAATTAAACATTCTAGAACACATAGATAAAATAATACCAAACTGTTGCTATGAAAAAGGATCTCAGATATACTGTGTATTATGTTGACTGCTTTCAGTTCAGACTTGTAGCATATACTACAAGAACTGGGACGAGAATAATTCTGAAATGTCAAATAGGGATTTTATTTTAACTTTTGTACCAATGAATGTGTAAGAATCACGTCTAGCAATATAATATCTCGGTCGCCCTCCTCTACCGTTTTTGTTCTGTGTGCACCATTGTCTTGGATGATAGTTGTGAAGATTCACAAAGTGTCCTTACTGTAAACAAGCTGGTGTGTTGGTCTACTGGCGCCGGCTATAATGCTGCAATACAGACACAACCACGCCGCACATATTATACGTGCGCTTCTATTATTGCTAAACGTCTCCGTGATTCGTGATTCACGGAGTCATCATTCGGACTGACTGCAGTGGACAATGGGGTTCAGTGCTCTGGGCCAGAGCGGCGTGTTTGTTTCCGAATAATCCACTGTCTGGCAATGGCCTTGGTCGAGCGGAAACAGGCTTCAAACACTTCATACAGCGTCACAATGCTCGCCCCGAGGAAGAAGCCCATCTGACCTCCCAGGGTGCCTACAAACACACAAAAACAACAGTTATATCGTGAGTCACTGACGGTATACGTAACAGTCAGTGATAGCCAAGCTTAGTCACAGCCACAGGGGCGTGTCACGCTTAGAAACAGCGTTAGAAAGACATATAGGTATATAGACCCTACCCTAGTAGTATCTTTGTATATAGTACTAGGGTAGGGTCTATATACCTATTTGTCTTTCTAACGCTGTTTCTAAGCGTGACACGCCCCTGTGGTCACAGCGTCAGGCAAATTATCGAGTGCGGACAGGCAAACTCGTGTCTGGTACTATGGGCATCAACCCACACTGCACACACATGTCCTAAACTGAAGATTTGAGTATGAAGACACTATCTGTTGTGAACATCTGCAAAGGAGTGAGTGAGTGAGTTTAGTTTTACACCGCAATCAGCAATATTCCAGCTATATGGTGGCGGTCTGTAAATAATCTAGTCTGGACCACACAATCCAGCATGCACATCGATCAACCTAATTGGGTCAGCGAGCCTGACCACCCGATCCCGTTAGTCGCCTCTCACAACAAGCATGGGTTACTGAAGATCAATTCTAACCCGGACCTTCACGGGTCCATCTGCAAAGGAAATCGTGGAGAGTACGAAGATCAATCTGATATATCATCCCACCACATGCGTATCAGCCGTATGTGCTCAATGCTGTGTAACTGTATACAAATAACAAACAGCAGCAGCAACAACAACAAGAAGAAAACACACGAATACATGATACGATTTTAATAAAAAGGGAGACAACTTACCCACCATCGAGGTCAGTGTGTACTCCGGTTCGTATTCAAGCTTATGTACAATCAACCGTTCGTACCATATGTTGATGCTGACCAGATTTTGTCTGTAAGAAATTGTGTATTAAAGTCGTTTTATTGTCTGCACATTCGTATTCATATGCATACGTTCTGTTGTAACCCATTTCAGAACAAACGACCATTGGTTTGTCTTGACTGTGAGTGAGTGAGTTTGGTTTTACGCCGCTTTTAGCAATATTCCAGCAATATCACGGCGGGTACACCAGAAATGGGCTTCACACATTGTGTCCATGTGGGGAATCGAACCCGGGCCTACGGCGTGACGAGCGAACGCTTTAACCACTAGGCTACCCCACCACCCGTCTTGACTGTGAAGCAATGCATAAGAAATGGCAGTAAATTTACAAATTAGCATTTACACGAGTTGCACTTCGTTGTAACAGGAGGAAAGTGTTAGAATTGCTGGAGAATTCTGGGTTTCGTAATAAATATTGTTGCATGAATGTCAAAGTTCTCCAAGAGAACGAAGGCTATTTATCGTCTCAGTCAGCAATACTCAATACGGACGACAGTTTGGCCCAAGACTACCATCTAGTCTCTGAAATAAACATGTTTTACCGAAAAACTGTTCCTAAAATAGAATCACAATAAAATATAACGAAAAGGAGCCCAGGGACTTTAAACTGCGGTAATCTTTACTTGCCACATATTCTGGACTTGCATGGGCTTTCTCGGATATATTTGTTTCAGGGTCTGTATGACAGACTAGGGCCAGCCAAACCGAGTTTGGACCAGGAAAACCAGTAACTTAAACGTAAACGGGGAATTAAAACCGGGACTTCTCCATGACGAGCGAACTACTCGCACAAAAGGCTACCAAAGCCATGTTCCAAAGCTAGACTGGATGAAAAGTCCATGGATTATATAGATTCGACCTTCTAAATAAAAGGACAGTACACCATCAGGATCCCCGAGCTCACTGGGGCTCCTTCTCAATTCTATGTTTTCAGACACTAAGCCTAAGTCTATCAAACTTGGGTGTGTACTTTCTTTAGCACGGAAGTGTACTTAACCTGGCATATTCCTCCGACGGCACGACGTTGTTCCGAACCATGTAGTCGGTGACGGCATTGGAGGGGAATGCACCGTATGACAGCTTGGTGTCGTACACAAAGAATCTACACGGCTTGTGACAATGGCAGAGTTCTCGCTGTGACGTCTGGTTGTAGTATACCAATGCTAAACAAAATCACAGTGGAAGATTACCTAAAGAAAGTATAATAATAATATACATTCCTGAATTTCTTCATCCTAATATGTCACCCCATGGTTGCAGCATAGGAGTGAATAAGTTGGTTAACGCCCAGTGGTTGCAACATAGGAGGGAATAAGTTGGTTAACGCCCCATGGTTGCAACATAGGAGGGAATAAGTTGGTTAACGCCCCATGGTTGCAACATAGGAGGGAATAAGTTGGTTAACGCCCCATGGCTGCAACACAGGAGGGAATAAGTTGGTTAACGCCCTATGGCTGCAACATAGGAGGGAATAAGTTGGTTAACGCCCCATGGCTGCAACATAGGAGGGAATAAGTTGGTTAACGCCCCATGGTTGCAACAAAGGAGGGAATAAGTTGGTTAACGCCCCATGTTTGCAATATTGAAGAGAAGAAGTTGGTTAACGCCCCATAACGGTGATTATCCAATGTAATCGAGACGTGAGATGAGAGCATTAGAATTGGTAAAGTCTGCCTGTTTAAACGAATTCATGGTTATCCAATGCACTATCATATCGCTATTATGATCAAAACCCATGGCTTGTACGCAACCTCGGTTTGTTAAGTGCTCGATCCGAATGACACGAGGCTAACACTAGCCATCCAGTCACAATACAGCCATGAGTGAAAGCAATTTTGTGCTAACTTTGTGATCAGATGTGTTACAGGGTATTAATCATGACAGGCGAATGAGGAACTGGATAATGACGTGGAATAAGCGTGTTCTTACCGGTGTAAGTAAAGGTGCAGCCGAAGAGTTCCTTCAACGTGCAGTATGGGTATGGCAGGTCGTCTGAAACATAAAACAGGTGCATTTGAAGCATGAGTGAGTAGTGAGTGAGTTTAGTTATTATGGCGGCGACAGCACAGTGTGCCATATGGGGAATCGAACCCGGGTCTTAGTAAGTGTCTCCGTAAGAATGGCGACTAGCGCGCTGATAGCCACCAGTTCAACATGGTTTGGTGCATGTCGTTTGTGTATACTGTGAAATAAAATGGGTGAGTAACCGCTACAAATTCTGAGCAGGGATTTTGGCTCTGAATCGGGAAATCACGATTTTTCGAGCTTCCGAAGACCCTAGCTCCCAAAGTACTGCTTCGATTTTTGTGCTGTATGTCTTAATTTGTAGGTAAATATATTGGCTTGAAATGTGTGCATACTTTAAATGGGATAAATACAATGAGCATTGTTGAATTCGCCCTGAAACGAACTTGGTGTCTTGACCTCGTTAATCCCTTTCCTTCTATATAGTTGTAAGACCGAGTTAGTGACAGTACATACCTTGAGTTTTTAGCGTTTCAAGCACCTGTGCCTACACCTACAGTTCCTGTTGGAGAGTCGGGTGTTACACTCACCAGGACCTAAAGTCATACAAATACAGTTCCTGTTGGAAAGTCGGGCGTCACACTCACCAAGACCTAAAGTGGTCCTACACATACAGTTCCTATTGGAGAGTCGGGTGTTACACTCACCAGGACCTAAAGTCATACAAATACAGTTCCTGTTGGAGAGTCGGGCGTCACGCTCACCAGGACCTAAAGTGGTCCTACACATACAGTTCCTATTGGAGAGTCGGGTGTTACACTCACCAGGACCTAAAGTGGTCCTACACATACAGTTCCTATTGGAGAGTCGGGTGTCACGCTTACCTATGTCTAACTATTGGAGAGTCGGGCGTCACACTCACAGGACCTAAAGTCGTCCCACACATACAGTTCCTATTGGAGAGTCGGGTGTCACGCTTACCTATGTCTAAAGTGGTCCTGTACACACATACAGTTCCTATTGACAGGACCCAAAGTACAGTTCCTATTGGAGAGTCGGGCGTCACGCTCACCAGGACCTAAAGTGGTCCTACACATACAGTTCCTATTGGAGAGTCGGGTGTCACGCTTACCTAGGTCTAAAGTGGTCCTACACATACAGTTCCTATTGGAGAGTCGGGTGTCACACTCACCAGGACCTAAAGTGGTCCTACACATACAGTTCCTATTGGAGAGTCGGGCGTCACACTCACCAGGACCTAAAGTGGTCCTACACATACAGTTCCTATTGGAGAGTCGGGTGTTACACTCACCAGGACCTAAAGTCATACAAATACAGTTCCTGTTCCTATTGGAGAGTCGGGCGTCACACTCACAAAGTGGTCCTACACATACAGTTCCTATTGGAGAGTCGGGTGTTACACTCACCAGGACCTAAAGTGGTCCTACACATACAGTTCCTATTGGAGAGTCGGGTGTCACACTCACCAGGACCTAAAGTGGTCCTACACATACAGTTCCTATTGGAGAGTCGGGTGTCACGCTTACCCAGGTCTAAAGTGGTCCTACACATACAGTTCCTATTGGAGAGTCGGGCGTCACACTCACCAGGACCTAAAGTGGTCCTACACATACATACAGTTCCTATTGGAGAGTCCTATTGGAGAGTCGTCACACTCACCAGGACCTAAAGTGGTCCTACACATACAGTTCCTATTGGAGAGTCGGGTGTCACAAAAGTGGTCCTACACAGGACCTAAAGTCGGTCCTACACATACAGTTCCTATTGGAGAGTCGGGTGTCACGCTTACCCAGGTCTAAAGTGGTCCTACACATACAGTTCCTATTGGAGAGTCGGGTGTTACACTCACCAGGACCTAAAGTGGTCCTACACATACAGTTCCTATTGGAGAGTCGGGTGTCACGCCTAAAGTGGTCCTACCATACAGGTCGGGTGTCACGCGTACCCAGGTCTAAAGTGGTCCTACACATACAGTTCCTATTGGAGAGTCGGACGTCACACTCACCAGGACCTAAAGTGGTCCTACACATACAGTTCCTATTGGAGAGTCGGGTGTCACACTCACCCAGGTCTAAAAGTGGTCCCAGTTCCTATCGGGTGTTAAAGTGGTCCCTACACATACACATACAGTTCCTATTGGAGAGTCGGGTGTCACGTTCTATTGGACCACACCCAGGTCTAAAGTGGTCCCTAACATACAGTTCCTATTGGTCCACTACACCTAAAGTGGTCCTACAGTTCCTATTGGAGAGTCGGGTGTCACACTCACCAGGACCTAAACTAAAAGTTCCTATTGGAGAGTCGGGTGTTCCTCACCAGGACCTTGGAGAGTTCCTATTGGAGAGTGTTACACTCACCAGGACCTAAAGTGGTCCCTACATACAGTCCTATTGGAGAGTCGGGTGTCACATCACCAGGACCTAAAGTTCCTTCCTATTGGAGAGTCGGGTGTCACGCTTACCCAGGTCTAAAGTGGTCCTACACATACAGTTCCTATTGGAGTCGTCGGTGTCACACTCACCAGGACCTAAAGTGGTCCTACACATACAGTTCCTATTGGAGAGTCCTAAAGTGGTCCTACACATACAGTTCCTATTGGAGAGTCGGTGTCACACTCATGAGGTGGTCCTAAAAGTGGTCCTACACATACAGTTGGTGGTGGAGAATCAGGTGTATATCTAAAGGGGACTTACACCCATAGTTGGTCCAGCGAGTCGGGTATACAACTTACGCGGACCTGAAGAGTTTTAAACCTACAGTTGGTGGTGGAGAATCGGGTGTATATCTCACAGGGACTTACACCTATAGCTGGTCCAGAGAGTCTTCCATACAACTTACCCTGGTCTATAGCGGTCTCACACCTACTGTTTTGGTGAGAATCGGGTGTATATCCTACAGGAACTTACACTCATAGTTGGTCCAGAGAGTCTTCAATACAACTTACCCGGGTCTGAAGAGGTCTTACACCTGCAGTTGGTGGTGGAGTGGTGGCTCAGACACTCGTCTATGCAGGCGTCGAAGCTGTAGGAGGACGCATACTTGAGGGGGTTAGTGAAGGTGGGACTGTCGGTGTCGATGCAGGTGTCATCACCAAACGACTTGTACGGCTTCGGCAGGAACTTGTACTACCGGTAGAAGCATATAGACAGAACGTGTAGGACACTTTGCTCAAGACAGATTATATTATTCGTCTTACCTTTCGTACAGACGTAACTGATGAGACTGATATAAATATCAACTTACTTTGGGTTTTCCTCTCGCAGTCGTGAAAACAAACGTCCACAGAAAGCTCAAGCTCCAGAAAACGTTGCGACATCGCCTACCTGGTGTTTGGTCATGGAGATGTAAGCCGTCGTCCCGGGGGCCACAGCTATCACGGGATCAAGATGACTCTGTTTGTCAGACGGGTGATTGATGTATATCTATAACAGATCCACAACATCAGATATTACTTGTTACTTCAGAAGTCAGCAAAGAGCGGATAGATTTAAATTTTATTCCAGCTTGGCAAGGAACGTACTATGAGCTATTTTCAAATTCTCGAAAAGGTCCATATCAATCCCACCATGTACCCTTGAAAGTCCATGTTAGAATTGGTCTTCAGCAACCCATAGTTGATTTGGTTCGCTTGCCTGGTTGACACATGTCATATTCCAAATGCTTAGATCGATGCTCTTACTGTTGATCACTGCATTGTTTGGTCCAGACTCGATTATTTACAGACCGCTGCCATATAGCTGGAATATTTCTGAGTGCAGCGTTAAACAACAAACAAAACAACCAAATTACCATCATGGCTGCCAGGTTGAATGGGCCGGGAAAGTAGTGTTCCTGGTGGATGTCCAGGAGAAGCTCCAGAGATCCACTTGGGCCTGGAGTGTTTGTTGTGTGGACTCCATGACGACGGATCATTTCCTCGCTTACAAACATTGATTAACACAAATATTTATTAAACCTATTTATAAACGTTATTTCAAGCTCTTTTCTGTAGTTGCTACATCTGAGAAAGTAGAAAATCAGTTCCACAGAAGTATCTGGAATCTCTAGAACGTAAATTTTTAATGTATGCGTGCTTTGAAATGTTTTTTAAAATGCTTATTTTGGTACATAAACTGAGGTCGGATGAGTCAGTCAATGTATTATAAGGTTCATTGATAGTTCGTAAAAAGCTTGAAACCAAGTATACATTCTTAGGATTCGTACGACATGTGAGATTTTATCATGAAGGAAAGTGTGACCAACGAAATTTGCAAAGAGGGACTATTGTGCTTCAGAGTGAAATAAACCCCTTTGCAGCCCAACTTTGAGGTGGCCATCTAAGAATCCAAGCTTTGAGTTAGCCATGTATGTAGCACATCGGTGACGTTGCCTTCCGTGTAGGCCACCGTTGACACCTTCTATACAGGCAACAGCTAGGGTGGCTCAATTGGTAGCCAACCGCTGATATGGCCTTCTTTGTAAGCAAACTTTGAGATTGCCTTCTATGTATCCCAATGTTGAGGTGTCCATAAATGTACTCAACCTTTGACCTGGCCTTCTGTGTACCCCAGCGTTGAGGTGGCCTTAAGTGTACCCCACCGTTAAAGCGTACTTCTATGTAGCACACTTTTGAGGTGGCTTCCTATGCAGGCAACGGCGGGGGTTGCTCTGTATGTAGCCAGTCGTTGAGGTGGCTTCTGTTTAGCCAACCATTGTGGTGATCTTCATTGTAGCTAACGGTTGAGGTGGCCATCAGAGTTACCAACCGTTGACGTTGCCTTCTGTGTATGCCACCCTTGACGTAGACTTCTGTTTAGCCAACCGTTGACATGACCTTCTATGTAGTCAACAGTTGTTTTGGCTTACTGTCTAGCCCAGTGCCGAGGTGGCTGTCTATGTAGCCCACTGTTGAGGTGGTGTTGTGAGCAACCAACCTTTGACCTGACCTTCTATGTAGCCTAGTGTTGAGGTGGCTATCTGTGTAGCTCACCATTGTGGTGGTGTTGTGAGCAACCAACCTTTGACCTGACCTTCTATGTAGCCTAGTGTTGAGGTGGCTATCTGTGTAGCTCACCATTGTGGTGGTGATGTGAGCAGCCAATCTTTGACCTGACCTTCTATGTAGCCTAGTGTTGAGGTGGCTATCTATGTCGCTCACCATTGTGGTGGTGATGTGAGCAACCAACCTCTAACCTGACCTTATATGTAGCCTTGTGTTAAGGTGGCTATCTATGTAGCTCACCATTGTGGTGGTGATGTGAGCAGCCAACCTTTGACCTGACCTTCTATGTAGCCTACTGTCGAGGTGGCTGTCTATGAAGCCACCATTGAGGTGATGTTGTGAGCAACCAACCTTTGACCTGACCTTCTATGTAGCCTAGTGTTGAGGTGGCTATCTATGTAGCTCACCATTGTGGTGGTGATGTGAGCTACCAACCTTTGACCTGACCTTCTATGTAGCCTAGTGTTGAGGTGGCTATCTATGTAGCTCACCATTGTGGTGGTGATGTGAGCAACCAACCTTTGACCTGACCTTCTATGTAGCCTAGTGTTGAGGTGGCTGTCTATGTAGCCCACCATTGTGGTGGTGATGTGAGCAACCAACCTTTGACCTGACCTTCTATGTAGCCTAGTGTTGAGGTGGCTATCTATGTAGCCCACCATTGTGGTGGTGATGTGAGCAGCCAACCTTTGACCTGACCTTCTATGTAGCCTAGTGTTGAGGTGGCTATCTGTGTAGCCCACCATTGTGGTGGTGATGTGAGCAGCCAACCTTTGACCTGACCTTCTATGTAGCCTAGTGTTTAGGTGGCTATCTATGTAGCCCACCATTGTGGGTGGTGTTGTGAGCAACCAACCTTTGACCTGACCTTCTATGTAGCCTAGTGTTGAGGTGGCTATCTGTGTAGCCCACCATTGTGGTGGTGATGTGAGCAGCCAACCTTTGACCTGACCTTCTATGTAGCCTAGTGTTGAGGTGGCTATCTATGTAGCCCACCATTGTGGTGGTGATGTGAGCAGCCAACCTTTGACCTGACCTTCTATGTAGCCTAGTGTTGAGGTGGCTATCTGTGTAGCCCACCATTGTGGTGGTGTTGTGAGCAACCAACCTTTGACCTGACCTTCTATGTAGCCTAGTGTTTAGGTGGCTATCTATGTAGCTCACCATTGTGGTGGTGATGTGAGCAACCAACCTTTGACCTGACCTTCTATGTAGCCTAGTGTTGAGGTGGCTATCTGTGTAGCCCACCATTGAGGTGATGTTGTGAGCAACCAACCTTTGACCTGACCTTCTATGTAGCCTAGTGTTGAGGTGGCTATCTATGTAGCCCACCATTGTGGTGGTGATGTGAGCAGCCAGCCTTTGACCTGACCTTCTATGTAGCCTAGTGTTGAGGTGGCTATCTATGTAGCCCACCATTGTGGTGGTGATGTGAGCAGCCAGCCTTTGACCTGACCTTCTATGTAGCCTAGTGTTGAGGTGGCTATCTGTGTAGCCCACCATTGTGGTGGCGATGTGAGCAGCCAACCTTTGACCTGACCTTCTATGTAGCCTAGTGTTGAGGTGGCTATCTACGTAGCTCACCATTGTGGTGGTGATGTGAGCAGCCCTTTGACCACCTTGTGCCTAGTGTTGAGGTGATATCTATGTCAATCAATGGAGGTGGCGTTGACCGACCTTTGACCTGATGTATGTAGCCTAGTGTTTATATCTATGGCTATCTATGTAGCCCAACATTGAGGTGACGTTGTGAGCAACCAGCCTTTGACCTGACCCTTCTATGTAGCCTAGTGTTTAGGTGGCTTTCTATGTAGCCCAAAATTGTGGTGGCGTTGAGAGCAACCGACCTTTGACCTGACCTTCTATGTAGCCTGGTGTTGAGGTCATTTGAGAGAAATGAGAAGCTCTCTTAAACTATATTTGTTCAGATGTCTCCTGTACTGGAAGCACCGTTGTGATAGTAGTTGCATTAACTGTTTATGATGATTGTTTGGGGACACATACCTGTTAAACCGGAAGCAGTATCCTGTTGGACCATTAACCTCGTCAAACATGTCGAGAGTCACTTCTTGCCCTCGGAAGAGAGCAAAGCGCATGTAATCCCATTTCCTGAGGGACATGGTCCTGTAGAGAAAGGCTTGCTCTGTCTTCATTAAAGGAGACACTAAAGACACGTTTACCTTTATTAAATTGGAGAGAATCGGGTTCAGAGACACAAACAGTTCCTTCATGGCAGTGGGGTTTTCCACTACGTTGCTGTTGTATCCGTTAGCGTTGCAGAATGTAATGGTGGGGAAATCCATGGACGGGAGATATTCCACACTCGACTTGGTAATAACTGGGTACTTCAAGTAAGATAATGTCAGGTCGACAACAATCCACAGCAGACACACGACCATTGAACACAGAATGATGAACCACCATATTCTGCCAAAAGAAACGAGTATGTGAGTTATGTTTAACAGTATTTAGTTTTTAGGCTGTAAATATGTACAAAATTAATTGAGTTGTTTGCTAGTGCTACGAGTGTGACAGGACATGCCTTTTGTTAACTGAAGGTAAGACCTTGATTCGGAGGGACGGTTGGGTAGCCTTGTGGTCAAAGCATTGGGTCGTGAAGCTGAAGAGCCTGGTTCGATTCTCCTTATGGGTACAAGTGTGAAGCCCATTTCTGGTGTCCCCCACCGTGATATTTTGGAATATTGCTAAAAGCGGCGTAAAACCAAACTCACCCACTCAACCATGATTGTAAACATGGCGGAACGCCATTGTCACTCAGCCAGTCACTAGTGTACCTAGCCCACTTTCAATCTTTGCTACCTATGGTAACCTGCTGGGGTCATCCCAGCTAACACACAACGTTTTCATAACGTTGTGGGAAGGTTGTAGATTGGTAACGTCATGACAAAACGTTGTCACAACGTTAGTATTACATCTTTTTACAACGTTATTTCACAACGTTACAACAACGTTACATATAGACGTTGTCAAAACGTTCGGTATCGACTATTACACAATATCTTGGTGTCACGATAGAATTTTCTGTTAAACTTTTCACTTTGAGAGTCTTTCTTCACTATTCAGCTGCAGCTTCAGAAAACACCCGACCAAACCAACATGCAAATTGACGACTAAACATTGAAGTGAATTTCTGCTTTGTTTCTTATGTACTGTTCACTACTGGGAAAACTGTCAACTATTAACGTTAAATAGAACGTTAAGACAACGTAAAATACTTTAGCATCAAATAACTTTAACATTGTGACGACGTGAAAATGTCTTATCACAACGTCATGTCACAATGATGTCCACAGAATAACGTTGTGGCAACGTGAAATTGTTAGCTGAGAAACCCTTTCACAGGACGCCTTGCTTTGCGGCGGGCTACATGGAGACGATTTTTAACGACTGATATCAAACTCCGTCTGCTTATTATTGTACGGAGTTCGGTATTGATAACACTGGCAAATCTGAATCAGTCGCGTAGTGCAATTAATTAATGAGTCGACATTGTCAACGTGACGTGTTTTACACGTGTATCGTCCTGACACCATTGATTTGCGAAACAAACGGGTAGTTTGAGATTCGTTGTTCATGCATAATGAGTCATTCCAGTGTGATTAAGTGTTGTGTTGACAGCAATGTCAATATACACGTCAACGATAGCTAAATCAGTCCCTTTGTCCTTAGTCAGTACTGTTATCCTCCATCCCACCATGTATAAAGTCTGGCGTACGTAGTTAAATCATTTAATGGCATGAATGACATACACATTTAACGATGTGGGTAAGACAATAAAGGCTGTATTCCCCATGTAAACTGCTTCAACACCAACACACACACGCCCCACACACACACCCCCCCCTCAAGATTTTGATGAGGTGTATAATTTCTTTTCCTCGGCATTTGGTGTTCCTGTCGACTAATTGGTATTGAAATTACTTTTCCGTTTGAGTATATTATTGTGAATATACATCATTGGACATTTATTCATTTGGTGGTTATAAGAAATAATCTCCGACGTGAACTCTCCCCGTGACCTGTGTCGCTGTTAACAGGGCAGCGTATAGCAGTGCAGTCCATGATGGAGCATTGCAGTCCATGATGGAGCGGGGAGAGGGAGAGGTGGAGCGGAGAGGAGGAGGGGTGGAGCGGGTGGAGTGGAATGGAGCGGAGAGGAGATGGAGCGGAGAAGAGCGGAGAGGTGAAGAGCGGAGAGGAGATGGAGCGGGGAGAGGGGAGAGTGAGAGCGGAGAGAGAGAGGAGAGGAGGCGGGTGGGGTGGAGGCAGCGGAGGAGATGGAGCCGGAAGAGCGGAGTGGTGAAGAGCGGAGAGGAGAGGGGCGGAGTGGAGTGGAGTGGAGATGGAGTAGAGAGGAGAGAGGGAGAGAGAGAAGAGAGGAGAGGAAATCAGAGCGGAGGAAGTGGTGAGGAGTGGAGTGAAGTGGTGAAGAGTGGAGTTGGATTGGAGTGGAGTTGAGCGGGGGTGGAGATGGAGTGGAGCGGAGTGGGAGTGAGTGGAGTGAAGTGGAGATGAAGCGGAGATGCGGATATGGAGTTGAGTGGAGTGCAGAAGAGCGGAGTGGAGCGGAGCGGGAGATGGAGGAGATGGAGCACAGAAGAGCGGAGTGGTGAAGAGCGGAGAGGAGAGGGGCGGAGTGGAGGGAGTGGAGATGGAGTAGAGATGGAGCGGCGTGGAGAGGAGAAGAGAGGAGAGAAAATCAGAGCGGAGTGAAGTGGTGAGAGAGTGGAGTGGAGGATTGGAGCGGAGAGCAGGGTGGAGATGGAGCGGAGTGGAGAGAGAGGACCGGAGGAGTGGAGATGAAGCGGAGATGGAGCAGAGCGGAGCGGAGTGGAGTGGAGTGGAGTTGGGTGGAGCAGGGAGTGGAGTGGGCGGGGTGGAGTGGAGTGGCAAAAGTGGGCCCCAGACATCGCTCCCCAAATATTAAACGCTGAGTCCCTTACCTCTCTGCACGTGTCTTCTGTGTCTTCACAAGGTTATTGCAGGCATGGAGGCTGGTGTCTTCAGCAAACGAATACCACACTTGACGCCATGCCCCCGGCGGTTTAGCCTTGATAGGCAGCGCCATCTTGATCTGTACGTCAGGCGTTCTATCAGCGTCGGTCTCATGAACTTTTACGAGTTAACGCTGAACTTTAGTGGTTCGTCGCCACCTGTTGTTCTCTGTCCAACCTAAACAACTACAAGTTTAACCTCAGCGGTTTCCTATTTTCCAGTGAACGGTTCCTGTTTCATCCACTTTCACGATTCTGTCTTCTTCATCCCCAACGGCGACTTTTTCACCTCGAACGTTTACTAGTTCACCCCAAAACTGCAAACTAGTTTTCAACGTTTGTTCTCTTCTCACCATCAACGGGCACGGGTTCACCCTCAAAGGCTACTGGTTCACTTACAAAACGACTTGTCATCTATGTTTGTTTCTTGTTTTCTCTTAAAAGGCAACTGCTCATTCACACCTCAGCATCGTTTTATGTCCAACTTTAACGGTTACCGGTTAGCACTGGGTGTCCTTCCCGGTCACTGATTTATCCGCAAGTTATATTCTTTGTCTTTCCTCAAAGGCGTCTGGTTCACCCACAGTGTTTGTTTTCAGTTCATCTTCAACAACTGTTAAAACACTAACCGTTTCTTTGTCCATCTGTAACGACACGTGGTTCGTCCAACGTCCTTTGTCCAGCTTCAACATCTACTCAACAACTATAACAAAATACTGCCTCAATGGAGTCTTTGTTCACGTTCATGGCGACACCATCACTACATACCCTGTCCGGCTTAAATGGCCATGCAGTTGTATCTGCCCATACTGAAAGCCTGCTTGGTCCACCCTAAACAGCTATTACTGCTAGTAATCTCTCCGACAACTCCCCTTGTCTGCTTTCATCACCTCTTCCGGGCGAACACAGATTCAGCGTCCTTCCATACTGAACTGGTTTGACTTACTGAACACTATGAATAATTTATATCCTTTAAGCGATCACCTACCCCGACATAGAATGATTAAAGTGTTTCGCCTAACGCGCATTGCTAATGTATAGGGGATCGGCGATTGTAAAAATACAAACCAGTATGTACTCACATTTGTTTCATTTATTGACTGTCATTTCCAAAGACCATCAGGCGCCATTAACATGTTTATTGTTCAATGTTTGCAGACTTCTCCATCTCTGTCGATACCGTAATCACCGGCCAGCGTACCCCAGGGTTTGACTATGTTCACTGGTTTATCGATAATGAAAGCTTTAATCAAATGTGAGCCCCATCATATTTCATGATTAGAATGAATTTTTTATATGAGTTCAATTTATTTTGATGTATTTTTAATTACCATTGGTTACATGTTTTACAGTTTATTGAAAATGTCTGAACCTTGTGCAGGAAAAGTGATAGATGAATTGAGTGTGTGTGTGTGAGTGAATGAGTGGGTGAGTGAGTGAGTGGTTGGGTGATTGATTGATTGATTGATTGATTGAAGTGGAGGAAGAGCGGAGATGTGAGCAGTGAGGCGGAGAGGATAAGAGCGGCAGAAGAGTGGAGAGGAGTGGTGAGCGGGAGGAAGTGGTGAGGAGTGAGTGGAGTGGAGTGGGGAGGAGCAGGAGCAGAGCGGAGTGGAGCGGAGTGGGGTGGAGTGGAGTGGGGCGGAGTGGAGTGATCACCAAAAGTGGGCCCCAGACATCGCTCCCCAAATATTAAACGCTGAGTCCCTTACCTCTCTGCACGTGTCTTCTGTGTCTTCACAAGGTTATTGCAGGCATGGAGGCTGGTGTCTTCAGCAAACGAACACCACACTTGACGCCATGCCCCCGGCGGTTTAGCCTTGATAGGCAGCGCCATCTTGATCTGTACGTCAGGCGTTCTATCAGCGTCGGTCTCATGAACTTTTACGAGTTAACGCTGAACTTTAGTAGTTCGTCGCCACCTGTTGTTCTCTGTCCAACCTAAACAACTACAAGTTTAACCTCAGCGGTTTCCTATTTTCCAGTGAACGGTTCCTGTTTCATCCACTTTCACGATTCTGTCTTCTTCATCCCCAACGGCGACTTTTTCACCTCGAACGTTTACTAGTTCACCCCAAACTGCAAACTAGTTTTCAACGTTTGTTCTCTTTCTCACCATCAACGGGCACGGGTTCACCCTCAAAGGCTACTGGTTCACTTTACAAAACGACTTGTCATCTATGTTTGTTTTTGTTTTCTCTCAAATGGCCACTGCTCATTCACACCTCAGCAACATTTTATGTCCAACTTTAACGGTTACCGGTTAGCACTGGGTGTCCTTCCCGGTCACTGATTTATCCACAAGTTATATTCTTTGTCTTTCCTCAGGCGTCTGGTTCAACAGACTTTGTTTTCAGTTCATCTTCCACTTAAACCGTTCTCTGTCCATCTGTAACGACACCTGGTTCGTCCAACGTCCTTTGTCCAGCTTCAACATCTACTCAACAACTATAACAAAATACTGCCTTAATGGAGTCTTTGTTCACGTTCATGGCGACACCATCACTACATACCCTGTCCGGCTTAAATGGCCATGCAGTTGTATCTGCCCATATGCTGAAAGCCTGCTCGGTCCACCCTAAACAGCTATTACTGCTAGTAATCTCTCCGACAATTCCCCTTGTCTGCTTTCATCGCCTCTTCCGGGCGAACACAGATTAAGCGTCCTTCCATACTGAACTGGTTTGACTTACTGAACACTATGAATAATTTATATCCTTTAAGCGATCACCTACCCCGACATAGAATGATTAAAGTGTTTCGCCTAACGCGCATTGCTAATGTATAGTTGATGATCGGCCATTGTAAAAATACAAACCAATATGTACTCACATTTGTTTCATTTATTGACTGTCATTTCCAAAGACCATCAGGCGCCATTAACATGTTTATTGTTCAATGTTTGCAGACTTCTCCATCTCTGTCGATACCGTAATCACAGGCCAGCGTACCCCAGGCTTTGACTGTGTTCACTGGTTTATCGATAATGAAAGCTTTAATCAAATGTGAGCCCGATCATATTTCATGATTAGAATGAATTTTTTATATGAGTTCAATTTATTTTGATGTATTTTTAATTACCATTGGTTACATGTTTTACAGTTTATTGAAAATGTCTGAACCTTGTGCAGGAAAAGTGATAGCTGGATTGAGTGGGTGTGTGAGTGAATGAGTGGGTGAGTGAGTGAGTGGGTGAGTGGTTGGGTGATTGATTGATTGATTTGTTGATTGATTGAGTTGATGGGTGAGTGGGTTAGTGGGTTAGTGAGTGAGTAGGTTAGTGGCTGAGTGAGTGATAGTGAAAATAAGCATCAGAGATACTACCATTCTCCTGCTCCAACGGTACCAGAATCATCAATAAAGGGTGTGTGAACCATTCAGACGTTGTGCTCATTGAACAGGCCAAGGAATATGGGGATTTTCAGACATTTAACAGCATGGTTGACTTATGGTGGGGATGTGCCAAGTCTTGAAGATTGATGGATTGACTCCTGGACAAATATACTTGTAAACATTGCATGTTCTTTTACCCCGGAGGATGAAGCCTGGTGGACTTACTCCTACGAGCAACTGAAAAGCCACAATCACCATACGACTCGAATGAGTGAGTGAGTTGATTTTAGTCCGCATTTAGCAATATGCCAGCAATATCACCACGGGGACGTCAGAAATGGGCTTCACACATTGTACCATGTGGGAATCGAACCCGGGTCTTTGGCGTGACGAGCGAACGCGTTAACCACTAGGCTACATGGCAGAAACATTACACAAGAGCTGGGACGAGAATACTTCTAAAATGCGAAATAGGGATTTCATTTGAATTGTTGTCCCATCGGATATGTAAGGATCACGTCCAGCAAAATTTCTTATGATATGCTTCAGGTGTTGTGATGCTGCTGAAAAAAACACAACAACTTCTTTATTTTAAGCAGTAACATTATTTATTAGCCTGATGTCAAGGGGTATTGAAAAGATATTTCTTCTGGGACTAGTTAGACTAATCAACTCTGAGTTAGCTCCTTTGCTCCGATGATAAATGGAGATTGTAACAGGGGTAACAGGCTGGTAACATATACCCCGGTGTGAGGTCCACACAACGTGAAGCAAGGAGTTCCCTGGCTGATCGCCGCGAATAGCTGCAACATTGATGATGCGGCGTTAAGGAATATTCACTCACTCGCTCCTTGGCTGAAATACTGGAGCGCAAACACAACAACACAGTCTATATCTTATATGCGCTTGTCTCAATGCAAGACGTCTCCGTGATTCACGGTAGCCAATCATTCGGACCGACGGTAGTGGACAATGGGGTTCTAGTGCTCTTGGCCAGAGCGGCGTGTTTGTTTCCGAGTACCCCACTGTCTGGCAATGGCCTTGGTCGAGCGGAAACAGGCTTCAAACACTTCATACAGCGTCACAATGCTCGCCCCGAGGAAAAAACCCATCTGACCTCCCAGGGTGCCTTCAAACACACAAAAACAACAGTTATATTGTGAGTCACTGATGATATAATACGCAACAGTCCTGAAAGTTTGTAAACTGACCATTGAAACTCGTGTGAAAACGGGTAAACATGTACTGTGCACCCCCAACCCCCATCCCCCTCTCTAAAGAAGCTATATCTGCCCTGGGAAGATTAAACCATTAATCCATATATCACTCCACACACACGTGTATCAACCATATATTCACAATGCAGTATAACATTATACAATAACATAAACACTAACCCCAAAAATCCCACAACAAAAGACAAAACCCCAAGAAAAGAGACACCGTGACGAATACATGATACGATTTTAATAAAAAGGGAAACAACTTACCCACCATCGAGGTCAGTGTGTACTCCGGTTCGTATTCAAGCTTATGTACAATCAACCGTTCGTACCATATGTTGATGCTGACCAGATTTTGTCTGTAAGAAATGGTGTATTAAAGTCGTTTTATTAGCTGCACGCTTGTATACATAATCATATGTTCTGTTGTAACCCATTTCGAAACAAACGACCATGATTTGTCTTGACTGTGAGTGAGTGAGTGAGTTTGGTTTTACGCCACTTTTTGCAATATTCCAGCAATTTCACGGCGGGTGACACCAGAAATGGGCTTCACACATTGTGCCCACGTGGGGAATCGAACCCGGGCCTACGGCGTGACGAGCGAACGCTTTAACCACTAGGCTACCCCACCACACGTCTTGACTGTGAAGCAATGCATAAGAAATAGCAGCAAATTTACAAATTAAAATTTACACGAGTTGCACTTCGTTGTAACAGGAGGGAAGTGTTAGAAATGCTGGAGAATTCTGTGTTTCGTAATAAATATTGTTACGTGAATGTCAAAGTATCTATCGTCTGCAAAACTCAATATGGACGACAGTTTGGCCCAAGACTAACATCGAGTTTCTGAAATTAACATATTTTACCGAAA